ACGAAAAAAACCCTTTTTATATAAAAAAAAAAAGAAATTTTTTTTTGTTCTTCAAATATTTTCCTTTTTTTTCGTACTTTACAAGCTTCACATGTAACAGCACCAAAATGAATACCTGATGCTGATGCATTACAAATAACACATGGTAATTTTTTATATAAATCTTCTATCTTTGATTCAATTGTTTCTTGAATTATTTTTGATAAATAAAATACAAAGAAAAAAAAAGAAAATTTACCATGAGATTTCATTCCAACAGAAATACATTTTTGTAATCTACAATATTGACATTGTGTTCGAGAACGTTTTGTTATTGAACAATTTAAATTTCTTTGACATTTATATTTTTTCTTTTCTTCATCATTTGTTGAAATTGAACGTAGAAAGAATTTCTAAATTATGATTTATTTTACAAAACAAAATATTTTATTCAAATTTATATTTTACTTTGCATGCTTCACATGTTATTGCTCTAAAAAGAAAAATAATAAACAATCAAAAAATAAATCAATGTAATTGACTTACCCACAATGCCATCCCGATGCTAAATCTCCACAAATTTGACAATGTTCATCTTCATTCAAGTTAGCTGATAACATATCTTCTTGATTATTATTATTATTGCTACTTGAAAAGATTCTAGAAAATTAAAAAAAAACGATTCAAATAGATTTTATAGGAGATAAATGTTCGACTACAGTATCATTTATTCGAGTTGTTTATCAAAGATTAAATTGTTACAAAAATATAAAATGATACTAAGATCATTAAAATATTATTTATCTCTCCCACTTTCTGCTTTTTTTTCTTACCAGATTGTTGTGGATTGTAGATCTTTTTGTGTATGATGAAAAATTGCTTTTCAAAAAAGTTCAATAATGAAGATATACTCTTCGTTCCCTCTGGCTAGTCATTTTAGATTGACTAAAAGATATAAAACAGTTATATATATATGTTTGCATTTTTATGACCTTTTAATGTTATGTTTTAGCAAATAGCACGCATGTTCGGTATTGATGTAAGAGAGAAAACAAAATGTAGATCTAATCGTACTTATGTGATAATATCATCTGTCATACATTGAAAGACAACAAGGTTTATTTTTCTTTTGAAATACATCTTTCTCATGATATAAAATTCAGTATGTTCAACAAACGAAGGAATAGATTTTTGTTTTCTAAGTTGCAATCTTATCTTTTCATGGATTATTTGATATAACTTAAAATGTGTCAAATAAAATTGATCGAAGACGGTCATCAATTTAACATGATTAACTGTAAAATCTTTAATAATCGACGATATATCTAAGGTAGATGAAGATATATTTGTCAAAAGAATAGTTGGCTCATCTTCATTGAAGTATGACTGAATTACGCTAAATTCAAGAGATATAGGAATAAATTTTGACATAGAATTATTGGTCGTGTTTATTGCGTCTTTTGACAAAATCATAGAATGAATAGTATAGTGTAGTTAGAAATACTTTTAAGACTTATTTAAATTTTTTTTAATGGATACGTGATTTGAATTAGCAATTATGAGAAAAAGTCAATAGACGAATAAAAATAAGAGAAAAGTAAATAGAACCAACCAACCGAAAATAATGTTCAAAACTAATATCGAGAATAGAAAAAGTTTAACATTTTATTGACTTTATATGAATTGAAATAGATTGTAGAGATAGATCAGACAATGTATAAATTGTTCTTCAGCAATAAAAGAATATAAAATCAGTGATAAGAAAGCAAGTTATGAACTATGACAAACATTGATGTGTGATCATATTATAATCTCTTTACTTCAATTTTTATCACACATTTGCGACAAAAAATTGTTTAAGATTTATACCATGACCTTTCAACTTGATAGCCTAGGTCAATGACCAGAAAACTCAAAAACAATGGTAAAAACTTGGAAACAAGAATCCAGTGATCAGATCCAATGATCAGATTTTTCTAGTTTCGATCGTAATCAAAAAATTGAAAACATATAAATTCTTTCGAAATTTTCAGTCTTGTACAGATACAATAAAAATTACATCGTTGGAAAGAGCGTAAAAAGCTGAGCAACGAGTAGTAGGGGTGAGAAGTTATTGTTATTTTTTGTTATTAATAACAATAATAATAACATAAAAGTTATTGTTATCAATAACAAATAACAAAAAAAGTTATTTGTTATTAATAACAAAAAAATAACAAGTAACTTTTTTTTCCGAAAAATGTTAGTTATGCTTTGTTACTATGTAAAAGTATACCAGTTCTATTTGCTCGTTATTGTCCGATTGCTCGATGATGTTACTGACCGCAATCTCCATTAGATAGCCTATGAAACTGAGAAAAATCCTAAAAAGATCTTTTCAAGTATCTTGCTCATCTACAGGCAAAATTTACTAATCGGTTTACGAGGAACGATTCCTCAATGTTCGATTGCCTTTGACTTGATGTTTTGGTCAAATAAAAGTCTTTACGAAATGAGATTCTAGGCGCTATTTTTCGAGTTATGATCTGTACAATCTTTCTAGACATTTTCTCATCTCCCAAAGGCTTATATTTGACCAAAGCATCAAGTCAAAGACAATTGAGCATTGAGGAATCGTTCCTCGTAAAGCGACCAGTAAATTTTGCCTGTAGATGAGCAAGATACTTGAAAAGATCTTTTTAGGATTTTTCTCAGTTTCATAGGCTATCTAATGGAGATTGCGGTCAGTAACATCATCGAGCAATCGGACAATAACGAGCAAATAGAACTGGTATACTTTTACATAGTAACAAAGCATAACTAACATTTTTCGGAAAAAAAAGTTACTTGTTATTTTTTTGTTATTAATAACAAATAACTTTTTTTGTTATTAATAACAATAACTTTTTTTGTTATTTGTTATTGATAACAATAACTTTTATGTTATTGTTATTAATAACAATAACAATAAATTCACACCCCTAACGAGTAATAATTATCTTGGTGAGATATATTCAAGTTCCCAGTAAAAATTTTTCAAAAAAAAATTTCGTAGCAAAAACATTAAAGATTTTTCGTAGTTTCAAGATGTTTGTGTGATCGTACAGCTGAATTTTATTTGTTAGAGTAGTATTATTACCTATCCAGCTCAAGAAATACTGACAGAAAAAGCGCGGACAATGGTAGAATCTTGGAATCGAGAATTCAATAATTGGATCCGGTGATGGAATTTTTATAGTTCTGATTCGAATCGACATATATTTCATGATCTGAGTTATTATCTATTGTCTCTTTGTCAATAAGAAATTATTTATTCAAGAACAGACAATAAAAAAGTTCAATAGAAGTTTGTTTTTACGGGCAGTTACTAGTGTAATTATATTCTCATTTTGAACAATGAAGATGAAAATCAATGAATATTGAAAATGTAATGATTAAGTTTAAATAAAAATTGAGTAAAATTTAGTTTTCTTATTTTGGAATTAATAATATAACTATTTTGAATAAGACTTTTTCATTTGTTTGAAATCATTTCTATTGTACATTTCAAAATAGAATGTGCTCCATTATTTTTTGAATAACTCGAAAATGCAAACAGCTAGAGATCTGCAGTTTTTAACAATCGAAAGAGGAGATAGGAAAACATCTTTTTCTCTAATATTGTATTAGACGAAATTTTGACAAAAAGTTAGAAAATTTGCTTGAAAATTACAAAAAATGCACAGTTTTCGTACGAGTAAATAGACGATTTTATTTGTTCAACCTTATGATATGGGAAGATAATCATTCGAGTTATATATTGAACTATAGATCTTAAGTTTCTCTATCTAGATCGCATGTCAAAACCAAAATTTCATCGAAATGACAGATTGTTTTCATGCATTTTTCGTAATATGTTTTGCAGAAATGATTGATTTTAAAATGATTTCGTTTTATATAATATTAAAGAAAAAGATGTCCCCGGTCTTCTCTTTCGATTGATGAAAAGCGCAGGTCTTTAGCTGTATGCATTCTCGAGTTATTCAGACAACACTGGAGTACATTATATTTTGAAATGGACAATAGTTTCATTGCTTCGCCTTTGAAATATTGGACGTTTCCAAAAAAATGTTTGTTTTTCCTACAGTCATTAGGAATGTTTCGGAATTTCTATGCAACATAAACCGATGAAGAAGTCCACTAGTGAGTTAGATACATTTCGAAAGCTTCACAATAACTCGGTGAATTACACATATTAAGGTGTATAGTTGACCATGAAGCCATTATTGGGCAGCTGAAAGATACTCAAAAATAAAGTTTTTATGTGTATTATAAATCTTAACTCAAGAGAAGCTGAAATAGTACTTACTATGAACTAAATGTTTTCAGAGGTTATAAAATGACTCAAAGTTAAGTAGATGTTTATTAAACAAGATGTGTCAAAAACGCATGTATTCTTTCGACATTAGATTTCGTCAGTTCACTCCTTCCTTTTTTCTATTGCTACAATCACATGAAATTCATGTTGCTGTCACCTAATCAATAACGTGGTCAAAGAAAAAACAAAAATCAACAACATCTGTCATGACCTGTGATGAAGAGCAGGTTAAATACAAATCTCTACTCTATATACTTCAACAGTCTATGTCGTGTGCAATGTCTTCTAATTATATTGACTTTTTTTTTGTGAATAAAAGCACAAAAAAGAATGAAAGTGTATTTTCTTATACAGTTTTGTAAAATTTCTGTAGTTACATATAAATCATTGAATAAAAAGAATTGCTCAAATACTTTCACAACATTATGAAATGATATCAATCACAATGAGTCATGTGCACAAACAAGACACATCACATCTCTGATTCATAGAACTAATTCATCGCTGTACTACTCGCTGCCTTGTCGCCCTTTGTATTTTACAACATGTCGCCAACCATATATTTGTTCTCTATGAGTCACACAGTCGTATTCTCCGTTCTTATCTCCATATCACTTCGTCAACTTCACGAAGCAAGCAGCGAGTATTTAAGTGAGTAACTTCAGCAGCAGTATCATTTTACACAATGCTTCGAATCAAGCAAAACTCTGCTCTTTCTACACAACAGCCAGAACAACAATTCGTGCCATTGAAACAAGTAAATGTCGAAGCCTACATTAGAGCGTTTGCTGCCGATGTTACTATCAAACAAGTTTTTCGTAACAATGAAACGAAACCAATCGAAGCAGTGTATTGTTTTCCGATAGAAGAACAAGCAGCAATCTATTCATTTGTGGCTCGAATTGATGATCGAGAAATTGTTGCACAATTGAAAGAAAAAAAAGAAGCACAACGAGAATACAGTGATGCTCTTCAACAAGGTCATGGTGCATATTTACTCGAACAAGATGAAAAATCTCAAGATAATTTTATAATCAATGTTGGTGCACTACCAGCCGGTAAAGAATGTCATATCTCTATATCGTATGTCACCGAATTGGATCTTATTCAAAATGGAAGCCGAATTCGATTTGTTGTTCCAACAACTATCGCACCTCGCTACAATCCAAACAAAGGTGGTATTAGTTCACCGGCTGGTACCACATCTAAATATGTTCAAACAGCTCCATATACAATTGAATTTCGTTGTCGAGTGGAGAAAGCCAACGTTTCTCGAGTTAGTTCAACATCTCATCCTATTCAAGTTGAATTCGCTCAAGAGAATGTCTATGTCATCGAATTTGCCCAACAAAACACACATCTAGATCGAGATATCTTACTAGATATTGAATTAGTTAGCAATCATTCGAATACTATTGTTGCTGTGGAACAAGGTGCTGTTATGGCTTCATTTACACCAACTAAAGAAGATTGTCAACGTACAATGAATAATGTAGAGACGACAAATGAATTTATTTTTATTATCGATTGCAGTGGATCGATGAGAGACGAGAACAAAATTGGATTGGCACGTCAAGCCATGTTACTCTTTCTCAAGAGCCTTCCAGTTAATTGTCATTTTAATATCATTCGATTTGGATCAACTCATCAGGCATTATTCCACGAGATTACCGCTATTTACAATGAACAAAATGCTCAAAAAGCTGAACAACTCACCAAGAACATGCAGGCAGATTTAGGTGGTACTGAATTGGTGAGTTTCAACGATTTTATCTTAAACTATTGTTTATTTGTCTCTAAATTTAGTTAAAACCACTTCAATGGGTAGAACAGCATCCTCCAGGACAAGGTCGCGCACGACAAATATTTCTGTTGACTGATGGAGAAATTTCAAATGTGAACGAAGTACTTGATCTGTGTCGTTCAATGGCTACTTCGACACGGATCTTTTCATTTGGTTTGGGTCATTCACCAAGTCGTTCACTAGTCAAAGGTCTTGCCCGAACAACAAATGGACGTTTTGTTTTTATTCCACCTAACAGTAGTGTTGACGTTCATGTTGGCGAACAATTACAAAAAGCTCTACAATCTTGTATAACCAATATACAAGTGAAATGGAATCTTGGTACTAATGTTATGAGTGCACCAACAAAAATGCCACCAGTCTATGCTAATGATCGTCTGATTGCTTATGCACTTGCCAATGATCCAATGTTTGTCTTCAATCACAATTCGAGTGTCGAATTATGTAACGATAAAAGTCGATTAGGTGAAGCAAAAATTGATCGCATACCAAATATGAGCATGAATGGAACTATTGCTCGACTCGCTGCCAAAGCACTTATTCTTGAATTGCAACATTCGAAGCTACCATCCTCGATCACGAAGAATAATATAGGTTCACTACAACATCGATTCCAAGAAGATCGTCCATCGCCAACACCAGTAACGACAACCGATGAGAAAGAAGTGACAAAGAAATCTATTATTGAACTTTCACTCAAGTATCAGATTTTGAGTCCACATACTGCTTTTATTGGTATTGAAAAACGAGTGAATGGCAGCAATGCCGATATGATCTTACGTGAAGTACCAATTCAAATATCGGCCGATGATCAACACTTACAGGCACCTCATCCGGTGCGATCCTCGGTAAGCAGGATGCCATCTAGTTCGATGTCATTCCATACAATGTCGGTGAGAAAAAAGGTAGAATCTATGTCGACTCGTTCGCTTCAGAAAGATAAGATGGTATGTTCCGTTGATGCATCAATCCCTTTAGTAAATTTAATTGAAGAATGTGCTTATGAAACAAGTGAATGTCTTGATCTTAATCTAGACTATAGCAAATCATCGTCGAGCTCTGGCAGCAGTATTCGTCCTAGCATTACTTCAAGCCTACTAGACTCCTTTGATGTAGAAAAAGATGAAACCTGGCCTACAGGCGATCAAAATATTGTTCGCTACTTAATCAACAAACAAAAATTTGATGGTTTATGGGATTTAGATGCGAAAGATATAGAACAATTGACTGGAAAACCATTGACAAACTTTCCACAATCCTATAATAAACAAATTCTCATTTCGGCTATTGTTATTGTCGCACTTGAAACGCGTTTCGTCACAATGTCGACAATGTGGTATGGTGTGGTACAAAAAGCTCGCAAACGTCTTCTCGATTTACTCGGTCAAGACGCTAAACAACTTGAATCATTACTGGAGAACATTCGTCAACAATTTTAAACATTTTTTTGTCGTTGATTGAACAAGAATGTTTCGCCTATGAATATCATTTATCTGTAGAGCCAGAAAACATATAAAGATTTTTGTCTAGAAAAAAAAACAATAATGGAAGAGTTGACATTCGATAATAGGTGATTATTTCTAAAACAATCTAATTTTCGAAATTAAAAGATACACATAACAAGTTATCAATGCTAGTTAATTTGATTATTATATTGATTGATTACTAATTTTATTCGTTTTTATATTTTTTATCTATCATTCATTGACATAAAGAAATACTAATACAAAAAAAAATCAGAAAAGATCGGTTAAGACGTCGTCGTCGATTTTTTAAAAAAGTTTCTAGTCGCTGCAACATAAAAATGGATATTTGATATTAAAAAATTTCCAATATCTCAAATCAGTATTCAGAGATGTTCTTGTCTAGTTTATTGTCAATAAGTTTTCTACTATTGTTTTGTTTTTCATTTCGAAATTTCTTGAAATCAAGAAAATTTTCAGTCACTGTCGCTAACCAATACATCGGCTTATGCGTCTATTTATAATCATTTTTCGGAACAAAAATACCATTGATAATCGATTATCATGAATTCAATTAATTGATTAATTCCATAATTTTGAACAATAATAAGCTAAATAACATCAAAACTTATCATAACATTATCATTTAATGTCAAATCACTTCTATTTCAAATTGTCATATGTCATACAATTCACGAAATTTATTGACATGACATAAGTATCTTTAGTTTGAATAGTATTAATTTTGAAAAAGTATAAAACAAATAAATACTTCATATAAGATTATTTTCAACAATCAATTATTTATACTTTTAGAATATCTTTGAAAGAAGATATACTTAACGATATACGTCGAAATATCGAATTCTGAGAGATACAAACAGTGTGAACTTTGTTATTATTCATCTTTTTAGTAGATATAAATTTCGAGATGATTTCTTTTTCTAGTATTTATCTAATTAATATATAAGGGCACATAGGAATCATTTCTGGGTCATGTTTAGCGCTGATTAATTCATGATTTACTTGATGCAGAATTTTGGGAGAAGTCGTTTGCTAATAAAATAAAGTCATTTCTGAAGAGTCTATACTAGAGATCAGCACGGTCAAACTTTTTAGTCTCGAAACTCAAGAATATTTTTTATTTCTCCCCGATCCCGAGAAGCACCGATTTTTTCTCACAAATAATTGACACCTAATACGTGTGGCATTATATTGACGGAGAAATGTAGACAAGTTTTGATTGTTAGCCAGTCAACGAAATAAATTGTGAAAAAACAAGGTATTTTCTCCTTTCCTTCTCTTCGTTTATGTATAAAACGAGATGATTCTGTTAAATATGTGAAAACAGGTGGTAGGTGAGGGTGTAGACATCCATGAAGTATGGGTACGAGCGTCGGTATGGGGTGTGGTGGGTTTTCTGTGCAACCACATGTATATCCAGTCGATTCACAGCATCCATAATCACATCCTCTTTTTCTGAATTTCTATTTTCTTTTTTAGTGAAGCTTTGAATTCTGACGATCAGATACCTTTGTCTTTCGTTTTCGTGTGTTTACTCTTTAATAAACTGTGAAACTAAATAAATTTATGTTGCAGAAAAACAAAAAATATTTTTTGGGAAGTATCCTAAAAAATTCGGAGCCCTGACCTCGGCCTCAAAAAATTTTTTAGCCACGCTCCCTGCTGATCTCTAGCCTGGAAGCTCTGATGTGGAACTTATATATGCTCTTTAGTCTCGTCATACTAATACAATACATATAAAGTGAAAATCACTAATGGACTATAGTTGTTTTCCAAGAATAATCTCTTATTTAAATCTGTATTTCGAACAAAAGTTTTTTTTAACTATCGTTGCTATTCACTTCTTGTTTTCCTTAATTTAATATTATTTGTTATTCTTCTAACCATTAAAAGTGTTCATGGTCGAGAAGAACAAACAGACTTATACGCACACCCACACTCTTCAACTCTACCCACTAATTATCAGATTCCATTCTAGATCTATATTAACTGCACTCAAACTCAGGAGTTGGAACTGCTCACTTCTGCAAGTAGATAGAGAGCAGAGAAAAAATTGAACAGTCTAAAATTTGTTTCTAGGGAGAGAGGGTGACATCTTCTTAAGTGAATTATCTCATCAATTATACTAATCAAAATATAATTCAGAAGAGGGAATGAAAAAAATACCGATCATTGACTCAATGAATCAAAAAAACGAGTATTTAAGAAATTTGTTTATAGATATGATACGAATAAGTCCAGGAGTAAGTTTCTTTAGATCACGACCCGATCAGATTTATCCGAACTAATAAGAAAACTTCAACTGGAGCATCTCTATTGGTTTTTTCCTTTCGAATTAATTGTAAAACATATAAACTTGCATTAATTGTGTCTTCTTGATTACGGACATTTTTTTTTAATTGGAGAAAAGAATGTCTGAGGCTAAAGGAGAAGAACTTTGTCAATTCATTTTGAAGAAATCGATGATTCGTTTATAGCATGACTGATCGAATTTAACATCCATTACAGTCGTCTTGCATGAACACAACAATGGTAGCTTTCGCTATGTTAATAATAATTTATTGCTTTCTCTTTACTTCGAAAATAAAATGAAGTATTTATTGTAGTTTCAAATGATAATTATTGTAAAAAAATTTTATACATTGATGTAGAATGTCATTCTTATAGATATGGTTTTCTTTCAGTGTAACACTAATGAAAAATAATTAGACTTCTTCTGCTTTTTTCGATTATTTGTCTTGTCTTCCAATATGAGACTTTTGTATAGTACAAAAGTTTGTTCGGTTAAAAATAATTCTTTAATCAAAAGAACAAATTAACATAATGAAATCAGCGATGACTTAAAAAGTCACTGCTAACAAATAAACTAAAATGAGACAAAAATGAAAAAAAAAGAAATAATATAGCAACATAGAGAGGAAATAAGCATATGATAGAGCAGATACATGAATATTATTATAATAGAAAATGAATACTGTTTGAACAAGCAAGATAAAAACTTTATGATATCTAAAATAGTCTTATAATAGATGAAAGATGATACCAAAATTCTTATATTATTCACTAGACATCAATCATTTGGGATGCAACTTGCATGCATCACAATTTTCGAGACCATGTCCACTACCGCTAGCATAGAGATCAGGTCGACTGAGTGGATCACCTTTCACATGAATAAATTTGACTGCTCCTTTTTCAATTCTAAAGAGTGAATGATCGACCATAGTATATGTTCCGGGTACATGAGGCTGAAAATCTACCACGGCACAACCACCTGCAGGTACTAGTGTCGTCTGTATAGCCTGTGCTGGTGCTGAGACGAAATCTGCTTCTCGCCACACTCTATCCCAACATCCACCGATAAGATGAAAAGAAGAAACTAAGTTCGGTCCAGCATTTACAAAGAAAATACGAATATTATCGCCTGGTTTGGCTAGCAAAGCATCCTTTGCTAGATCAATACTTGTATCAGTATGTTCAGGAAAAGTATAACCTTCTGCTCCTTTCATACCATTGAACAGTACATAGGTAGCTTTCTCGCGTACACCTGCTTCGATATCCATGTCCAATCGACTTAACCCTTTGAGTTCATTTTCTATTTTCTCTCTGTTTTCTTCTTCATCAGGGCCTATGTACACAATCGGTTCCTTTTCATCTATTCTCTCACTCGTGTATAATTCAGCTTGGACAATACAGTATTCTCTCTGTGCTGGAGGCTGTAATCCACCTTCGGGTTCTACTAATACACATCCATACATTCCCTGAGCTAAGTGTACGGGAGCAGGTGCCACAGCGCAATGGTAGAGAAATAGGCCAGCACGTAACGGTTTGAATAGAGCAATTTTCTTCTGTCCTTGATTGATAGTCAATAATGAAGATCCACCACCTGGACCTTCGACAGCATGGAAATCAATATTATGTTGCATACCAGTTTGATCCTTGTTGGTAAAATGGATTTCTAAAACATCACCAAGGCGTATTCGAATGATTGGCCCAGGTGATCCACCATTGTAAGTCCACCAATCAAAACATGACTCTTCATCAATAGGTTTGGTACGAATGTAAGTATCCATATCAATGCATACTCGCACTGGACCATCATGAACAATCGGAGGAGGCATATGTGGAGGAAATACTATTGGATGTTGATAAGATTCAATATCATGAAGATCTATGGACGGTTTTGATGTGTCTGAAGCTTGTGGATTGAGTGCTGAATTCGACGGATTCTCATCTACAGTCGACGCGGTTTTCGCCGCCGTTTCAGCCAAATCAGCGTCAGCCGACTTGTGATGTTCATCTTCTTCTTTTTTCGATTTTTCTTTCTGTTTTTTCCACGAAAAGAGAGTGGAACCCATGTAGACGGTGCCGATACCGATTAGAGCGGAGAGTCCTATGTAAGTATGAATAGTAAAAAATTGAAAAATTTTGTTGGAAAAGCATGCGAGATAGGAATCTGCTCGGATTATCGAGGAGCTAGAAGATTCATCTTTGTAAAAAAAACCTGATATTTTTAAAGGTCAACAATAAGAATTACGAAAACAAAATTTCTCCAAAGATCTTTTGAATGCAATGCAAGTTCGGCTCGCTAGTCTGTGATTAGCCTTACTAAATATGAAATAAGAGTTTGATATATGTAATTCGCCATACCTCTGTAATTGCTACGTTGATCATGTGTAAATTGACGTCTGGATACTTGTGTGTTTACGTGCGAGGTACGTCTGACCAAATGAGATTCTAGTCGGTGCACATTTTTAGATGGGCTAGCTGCGTTCATGGATCGAGAGATGGTATTCTGGAAAATGCGACGACTAGCCGTGCGTAATGCAGCCAATAACATCATAGCAAATGATCTAGATCTGAAAAACCTGATATTTATAAAGTATGATAAGTGTGTTATGGCACGCTATACGATTTGAAAGATGGAAGTGAATCAATAATGCTTTTCAGTT